TACTACTACTACTACTACTACTACTACTACTACTACTACTACTACTACTACTACTACTACTACTATCACTGTTATTATTATTATTATCGTTATTATTATTATCATTATTGTTATTGTTGTCGTTATTATTATTACCATCATTATTATTATTGTTATTACCATTATTATCATAACTGCTATCGCTTTAATATTTTTACTAAAAAAAGCTACCAGGTCCGCTTGGGCAATGGGCATGAGAACAAGCACTTTTGGTTCTACGTGTAAATGCGCCAACTCATCGGCCGTCCCCTTATACATTACGATTGATAATGTAGTAGCTATTATCAGGGGGACAAAAAAAATACAATCTACAAAGGAAAAATGGCACTAACAACGTCTAGACGACGCGTGGTCAGTATCCCGAACAGAACATCCTGCTGTTTCTCGGTGAGTGGCGCACGATTTGAACCGTTTGCAGTGTGTTCTCGAGATCGACTGACAATCAGTTTGTTCAAGTTCAATATTATACCGGTCAGTATACAAGCAAAGCAACGTGCGATCACCAGGCAAAAATCACTCATCTGAAACAGAAAATACGTAAAAAATGCTCAATTCTAAGCCAAACCCATAAAACTGCGGAAAAAGACCAATGCATTCTACACAAATCAAACAACCAAATTTTATTACAAAATATTACGATAAAAGCGTATAGTTTCTAATTTTTCACGGTTTTCTGTGTATAACAAAAAGAAATTATCGTGAAATTATGTACGTACGCATGCATGTATATACGTGTGTGTGCGCGCGTGTGTGTGTGTGTGCGTTTTACCTGTTAGACAATTAAACCAGAACAAACTTTCATGAAAGGGCACAGAAGGATCGCGTGCTGGTAAGCTAAGAGGCCACGCATGGAAGGAAGAACCGGTTGCACCTAACTCCTCCAAAAGAAGCAAGTACGAACGCGGCTCTTAACAGCGGAAGGCTCTATAACAAGTTTAGGTCGTCATGATAAAACAACTGCTAATCAAAGTACCAATCAAAAAGTACGTGGAAAAATCGAATTTGAATTGAAAAATCGAAAATTGAATGATCGAAATCGAAAAATCGAAAATCGAATGATCGAAATCGAAAAAAATCGAAAAAAAAAAGAATGATGCGAACTCACCTCAACGCAGAAATCGATGAGTAGATTCAGGGGGCCACACATTTCATCGGGCGAAAGAGCAAGCGCAATATGAGCGCACATTTTTAGGCAATTGATACGTCCCTCCTTGTTCGTGTTCTTCGAGCAGACAAGTTCCAGTGCATAATGCATCGAATGAATGTATCTGTCCTTTTCACCAGGCACATTCAGGGCCTGCAACACAGGCATCAGATGAAATAACACTGAAAGATCTGCCCAAGCAAAAAGAGATGATTTGCTTGCTGGATTTCAGCTATCATTAGCTTTTTTAGTTGTTAAGCTAAAAAATTGTTAGCGCTAACCCGGCCATATCCAAATGTGAAATCTGGAGCTCAGTACAAATTGATTTTATGTATATTTTTACTCGTCTACTGTTGCGGACCAAGTTCACAATGGTTCCAAAGTCACAGGGTTCTCAATGTCAGCTTTTACGTGTTCGTACGTGAGATGCAAAGAAGACATAAAGGATAATTTTACAATTAGTTAATTTTACAATGAGCTTGATCCACATTGTCGTGGACTAAACTCACAAAATTTCAGTTTTCTAGCTATCTTGGCAATGAAGTTAAGAAAATATCAGCTTCAACTTCAGTACTTTCACATGCGAGAAAAAAATTTGTTTGGTAACACACATTCACAGTAGTGGGCAATGTCGCCAAAATTCCACTTTTTTTTTCGCTCGCCTGTCTTGCAAATTAGTTACATGACTGTTCAGTAAATGGCGGAAACACATTCACAGTAGTGGACAAAAGTCGCCAAAATTCCACCTTTTTTTTCGCGTACCCGTCTTGCAAATTAGTTACATGACTGTTCAGTAAATGTTTGCGGGTAGGAGACTGCACTGATGATTCCAGCTCCAACCCGCATGCATAGCTCGGTCGCTGTTTACAGCTAAGGAATGAAACACAGAATGTATCGTAAAATGTTCTCTGTCACATGACACTTAAGTCCAATCCTTCTATTGTACCATTCAATAACATACCGTCGTACACTTACAAAAGTATGCGGGCATAAAGAGAGCTTTTTTTACAGCACACGTTTTCGTACTGCAATAATTGGCCAACGCACGGATTGCTCGTGCGAAGATGCATTTTTGCATAGCTCCCCACAGATTTTTGTCGCTAACGGCGCTGGTTTTTCTAGTAGACGCTTCTAGCTAAAAGAATTTCAGACTGGCCACCAGAACTGTCAGGAAATATCCCTTCAAAATCCCAGTCTTCCAGCTTCTCACTTTCCCGAGTTAGCAACTTACCCGGAAGAAGCTTTCAAGGGCCCGT